TATTGATTATACGGTATTAATATATAGTATCAATTGATACTCCCACTATCTCGATAGACTATCTTTTTTAGATTTTCTTCCTCCTTTTTAACTTTCCCTCTTACAAAGTTCACAACCACGGATCTAATACTAGCTTATATAAGTAGCTAGATCTTATATTATATACTCTTTTTTATTAAAAGTTAAAGAGCCCCTTATATATTCCCTTATATTTATAATATAGCCTATATTAAAAGGATTTTTAGCTTTATAAAATATAATTTTTAAATTAATATTAATATATTAAATCTAAATATCCGTATTAACCTAGCTATTTATAATATTCGTACTATTACTTAACTAGATTCTATATTATTAAAAAATATTTTATTATTTTTTAAGTATATTTACGTTAGTTATAATAGCTATAGTATTAAGTTAGCTAAAGAGGGTGCTTAGTTTAAGAGGGGTAGACTTATTAATAAGTATTTTTAGGTTCTTATTAAGGTAATATTTTAACTAGCTATTTAAGTAATAGTTTATATATTAATAAGTTTAATTAATAAATTTATTTAGTAAATTTATTTAGTTTAAATAGAGCTTTAGGTAATATTAAAAGCGATAAGGATAAAAAGAATCTTTATAAGCTTTAAAAAGTAGTAAATATTAGCCTATTTAGCCCTTTTTTTTAAAAACCTCTATATTATTATTAAAGTTTAAAACTTCTATAGTTAAGGGCTATTTCTAACTATTATAGCCGACTATTATAGCTAATTATTACGGCCGACCTCTACTATTAACCTTTTTAACTAATACTACTACTAAAGAGGGTAACTTACTTATCCCGAATTATATAGTAGTTTTCGTATTAAAATTACTATATTACGTTAAGTACGTACTTAGGGTATATTATATATATTATATAGTTAAAAAGTATATTATATTATATAATTCTTTTTAAAAGCGTAATCTTATTAAGGTCGATTTTTTATACCTATAAAGCTAAAAAAAAACCACTATATAAGTATTTATAAATACTATATATTAATATTATATAATTAATACTAAGAACTGCCTAAGTAGTTAGTAAAGGCAAAATATAAAAATAAATAATAAATTATTTTTTATTTAAAGCTAATAAGCTAAAATATAAAAAAGAAATAGAGGAGCCTTTCTTAAAAAAATAAGTAAAGGCTTTATACTATACATAAACTAAAATAGATTAGTTTTTATTAAAATTAGATCGTTTTGTTTTTTAAAAAAAAGGGTAGTATTTAAAAAGGAAAAAACGATCCCTAATCTTCTTAATATTATTAATAAGGATAAGTTAGTTACTATATAAGAGGTATAATTTAATAATACTTTTAGAATAATTAATTAGGATACTATAATAACTAAGAGTTCTAATTTTAATTTTGAGTTTAGCATTTTAAAAAGGATTTTTAAGAATTCTAGGGATTTATAATAAGTTCTTATCCCTTTAGGGTCCGGTCTACTTTATTAAGGGCTATCTTCGCCTTTATAGGCAAGCTAGTCTATTAAAGTTAATATTAAGTTTTTATTACGTACCTTAATAAGATTTTATAATTAATAATAGCCGGCTATAGCTAGTATAGCTATTATTAATTATTAATATTAACTAAACTTAAAATACTAATAATCCCGCTACCGTAATATATTAATTATCTTTTTAATAACTAAATACTACCCCTTACTTTCTCCCTTTATCTTATTTAATAATAACCTCTCCTTAATATTCTTATTTAATATACTTAATTACGCTCTTTTTAAGCTCTTAATTATATTATTAAATCTAGGCTTATTTATATTATTTTATTTTATTAAAAAGGTACTAATAAGGGTATCGTTTATAATAATATATTTATCTATTTTTTTATAAGTTAATATTATAAATATAGTATTTATTAAAGCGGTCTTTCTCTAGCTCGGGGTCGTTTAGTATAATACTTATAGAATCGAACTTCTAGTTATTAAAGAAGCCCTAATAGTCGACGGGTCGTTAATAACGTCTTAGTATTTTAATAAAGTATACTTAAGTAAATAAATAGTTAGATAATAATAATAATAATAATAATAGTACGATAGTAATAAATAGTAAGGGAAGTAGCGTTTTTAATTCTAATCAAAAAAACGAGGTAATAAATATATATATAGTAGTTTTTTTCCGGCTTTATAAGTATAAAAGATCGACCTTAATAGGATTACGCTTTTAAGGGAAATTATATAATATAATATACTTTTTAACTATATAATATATATAATATACCCTAAGTACGTACTTAATATAATATAGTAATTTTAATATAAAAACCGCTAACGTATATAATAAGCGAGTAGGCTAGATAAGCGAGTAGGCTACTTAACTACTATTAAGCTACCTATATTATTATAATATGCATTCCTTAACTAAAAAGAATAATAGTACTAACTAAAAATATTTAATTAAACCTAGCTATTTAGGCTATCTATAAAGACTAAAATCTTACTATTCGGGCTATAATAAGGATCTATAATATTAATTACGTTATTTTAGGTTATAAATTAAATAGAATATTATAATAACGCGATATTATTCCTAACTTATAGAAATTAACTATATTTAAAAAAAAGAAACTAGTTAAGTATATTCTTAATTTAGATTCTTAATCGTTTTTTCTCTACCTTAGTAATATAGAAAATATAACTAATTAATTATTTATTAATTACGATGCGCTCCCTATTAAAAAGCGCTAGGTTTTTAATTTTATTAAGTATTAACTATAGCTCCGGACGCGCTTTTTTTATAAGTATAACTATAAAAGGGCTTAATATAAAGATCTAAATATAATAAACACGTAGTTTTATTTTATAATAAATATAATTATAAAATACGGTATTATAGAGTCCGATATTTATAACTTTAATAAGACTAGTTTTATAATAGGCTAGATTATATTTAAAATAGTTATTACGAATATAAAAAGGCATTTAAATACGAAAATAATATAGCTTAGTAATTATAAATAGGTTATAGTTATTTAGGTTATTAGTTCGTTAAGCTATAATATCCTACCGTATATTATTATTATAAATAAATATTACCTCTCTACTTAGTATACGGAATCCGGTTTATTATATAATTAGGTTATCGTAACGTCTAAAAACGGATAAATAATAAATAAAAGAGGCTTAGATTAAGTAAAATATTTTAAATAGTAAATAAAACTATATATAAAAGGTTAATATTACTTCCTTATTATTAACGAATACGAAAGTTACTACTCTATAGATTTTAAGTTATATTATAAAAAGAATAATATTATTATTTTTTATATACTAGCTTATTCGTCTTATTTACTATAACTTTTAAATATTAAATATTTTAAATTTTTAAAAATAGTATATAGCTAAGAAATTAAAAAAAAAATACGACGGGGTAATACTTATATTATAAAAAAGGACTTTTTTTTTATATTTTATAAAGTATTTATATAAGCGATTATAAAAAAAAAATTTAAAGAGGATTTAGAAAAGCTAAGCTTATACTTTTAAATATAAAAAGTATACTATTTAAGTTTAATATAAAGTTATATACTCCGACGCCTCTAGGATCCGTCCTAATAATACTACTAGCTTAGACTTTTTAAATACTAAATAACCTAATAAAAATATTATTATAATTATAACTTATTAAAAATCGAATTACTTATTATTAAAATAGCTCTTTAATTTCGATTATCGAAGCTATAGAGTATTTATTAAAGGGGGTACGAGGATTTATATACTAAATTACCTTATTAAAGTCGGAGAACTAGATCCTTTAAGAGGAGAATAACTTATTTAATTAATATAAGAGGGCTAAGAAAATACGTTTTAAATAAGAAAGAAGTCTTATAATAGCTAATAAAAAAGACCTTTAGTTATAAAAAGAGGTAATAACTTAGATTAAAAAAGAAATACGTTAGAGTAATAGTCGTTAACTAAGGACTAAAATAGGTTAATAATAATATAATATTTATAAAAATACTAATTATAATATGCAAATATATTAAATCGCTAAAGAAATATCTAAAAAAGAGGATATTAAATAGTTTTAATTAAATTACTTTTTTTAGTACTACTTTTTAATTACGAATATAATATAGTCGCGGTTAAGTAGCCTACTCGCTTATCTAACCTACTCGCTTATTATATACGTTATATAATTTAAAATAAATAAGCTACTTTTTATATAGTAGCGCTAGTTAAAAAGGTTAATAATAAAGGTTAATTATAAAAGTTAAAGGCGGCCCTTAACTATAGAGGTTTTGAACTTTAATAATAATATAAAGGTTTTTTTAAAAAAAAGCTAAAAAGGCTAATATTTAGCTATTCTTTAGAGCTTATAAAGATTCTTTTTATCCTTATTATTTTTAATATTACCTAAAGCCCTATTTAAACTAAGTAAATTTAGTAAATAAACCTATTAAACGAACTTATTAATATATAAACTATTACTCGTTAAGAACCTCTTAGTATATAGTTAGTAACTCACGGGCTAAAAATGCCCCTCGATAGGTCCCCCCCTCTAAAGCTTAATAAATTAAGCCCCCTTAGTACTCTAGTTATTATAGCTAATATAAATATACTTAAAGAGTAGTATAGTACTTTTTAAGAATATAGAATCTAGCTAAGTAATAATATAAATATTATAAATAACTAAGTTCCCCTCGATAGAGTAATTTGCCGGGGCCGTACTATATATTACGTATTAAGGAAAATTAAGTATAATACGCTTTATACTTAATTACTAACTAAAATAACTCTTAACCTTTTATTAGAATCTTCCTAAATTCTAACTACTTATAAAATAAGCTTTATTTATTTTAATATATATAAGACCTCTTAATACTAGTTTATATAAATAATTAAGTTTAATATAATCTATTCTTTTATATAAGTATTATCGTTACTTAAGGGGTTTTATAAGAGCTATTTAAAATATTAGCTTACTATCTTAACCCTATATACCTCTAACTTATTTATTATTTATTTATTTATATATTCTGCCTTTGCTAGCTGCTCGGGCGGTTCTTAATATCGTTTCCACGGTATTAATACACGGTATCAGGGAATACTCACACTGTCTTAGTAAACTATTTTTTTAGATTTTCCTCAACTTTCCCTCTTACAAAGTTCACAACCACGGATCATTAACGGCAACTTATTTATTATAATTATTATAACTAAGCTAATATTAATATATTAAATCTTAATATCCGTATTAGCCTAGCTATTTATAATATATATAATATTACCTACCGCCCGAGCAACCAACAAAGGCAGAATAAAAAATAAATAAATAATATTACCTAGCTAAATTCCGTATTATTAAAAAGTACTTCGCTATTTTTTAAGTATATTTATATTAATTATAATAGTTATAATATCGAGCTAGCCGAGGGCGCCTAGCCCGAGTGGGGTAGACTTATTAATAAGTATTTTTAAATAAGCTCATTAATTACTAACTATATACTAAGAGAATAGGTTCTTATTAAAGTAGTATTTTAACTAGCTAACTTCTTAACTAGTTATTTAACTAGCTATCTAAGTAGTAGTTTATATTTTAATAAGTTTATTTAATAAATTTATTTTATAAATTTATTTAATTTAATTAAAGAGTAGCTTTAGGTAATATTAAAAGCGATAAAAATAAAAAAAATCTTTTTAAGCTTTAGTATAAGTAGTAAATATTAGCCTATTTAACCCTATTTTTAAAAACCTCTATATTATTATTAAAGTTTAAAACATCTATAATTAAGGGCTACTTCTAATTATTATAGCTAACTATTACGGCTAATTATTATAGTTAATTATTACGGCCGACCTTTATTATTAACCTTTTTAACTAGCGCCGTTATATAATAAAGAGAGTAGCTTACTTATTTTAAATTAAATAGCGGTTTTTATATTAAAATTACTATATTATATTAAGTACGTACTTAGGATATATAACGTATATTATATAGTTAAAAAGTATATTATATTATATAATTTTTTCTAAGAGCGTAATCCCGTTAAAGTCGATCTTTTATACTTATAAAGCTAAAAAAAAACCACTATATAAATAACTAAGTTAATATAAATATTAAGGTTTAGTATATTAATATTAGTTTAGAAATTATATTTTATAAAACTAAAAATCCCTTTAATATACGCTATATTATAAATATAAGGGAATATATAAGGGGCCCCCTATCCCTTAATAAAAAGGAGTATATAATGCGGGATCTAACTACTTATATAGGCTAGTATTAAGAGGTCTTATATACGTTAAAATAGGTATAGCTCGCCCTTTAAATAAGTAGGGGAAGGTCGGGAGTTATTAATAAAAAGAAGATAATAGTTAAGTTAGTTAACTATTTTAATTAATAATTAAGTATAGAGCGTAATATACTTAGTTTTCCCTAATACGTAATATATAGTACGGCCTTAGTAAATTATTCCGTCGGGGGGGTTAGGTTATATATAAGAACTTTTCTTTTTTTTAAACCTCTTATAATTCCTTTATAATTAGCTTCGTTAGTTTTTTATTATATACTTTTTTTATTAAATACTTTACTTATATAGTTATTATTATTCTTTTTATACTTTAGCTTTTTAAAAATAATAAACTCTAATACGTATAGTTTTAACAAGGTAATGCGGGATATTCTTATAATAAAAATTTAGAAAGTAAATATTTATATAAAAGTAAAAATATATAAATATAGAGGACCCCCCAACGGAGCAATCCGCCGGGGCCGTACTATATATTACGTATTAAGGAAAACTAAGTATATTACGCTCTATACTTAATTACTAATTAAAATAGTAATTAACTAACTTAACTATTAGTTCCTTTTTATTAATAACTCCTAACTTTTAATTATTTCTAACTATTTAAAAAGTAAGCTATACTTATTTTAGTATATATAAGACCTCTTAGTACTAGCCTACGTAAGTAGTTAGATTTTATATTATATATTATTTTTTATAATTTATTAAGATAGTGGGAGTATTTATTAATACTATATATTAATACTATATAATTAATATTGAGAACCGCCCGAGTAGCTAGTAAAGGTAGAAAATATAAAGAAATATATTATATAGTTAAAAAGTATATTATATAGTGGTTTTTTTCTAGCTTTATAAGTATAAAAGATCGACCTTAACGGGATTACGCTTTTAAAAGAAATTATATAATATAGTATACTTTTTAACTATATAATACGCGTAATATATCCTAAGTACGCGCTTAATATAATATAATAATTTTAATATAAAAACTACTATTTAATTTAGGATAAGTAAGCTACCCTTTTTAGTAGCGGCGCTAGTTAAAAAGGTTAATAATAGAGGTTAGTTATAATAGTTAGCTATAATAATCGGCTATAATAATTAAAAGCGGCCTTTTTTAATTATAGAGGTTCTAAACTTTAATAGTAATATAGAGGTTTTTAAAAAAAGGGCTAAATAGGCTAATATTTATTATTTATACTAGAGCTTATAAAGATTTCTTTTATCCTTATTGCTTTTAATATTACTTAAAGCTCTATTTAAACTAAATAAATCTACTAAATAAATTTACTAAATAAATTTACTAAATAAATTTACTAAATAAACTTATTAATGTATAAACTACTACTTTAACGAGAACCTACTCTCTTAGTATATAGTTAATAATTAGTAGGCTTATTTAAAGATACTTATTAATAAGTCTGCCCCTCTCGGGCTAGGCGCCCTCTTCGGCTAGCTCGACGCTATAGTTATCGTAATTAATATAAATATGCCTAAGGATTAATAAAGTACTTTTTAATAATACGGAATTTAGCTAGGTAATATTATAAATACTATAAATAGCTAGGCTAATATAGATATTAAAATTTAGTATATTAATACTAGCTTAGCTATAATAATTATAATAAACGGGCTAAAAATATATAGGATTAGAATAATAAGCTAATACTTTAAATAGCTCTTATAAGACTCCCTAAGTAATAATAATACTTATATAAAAGAATAGATTATATTAGATTTAACTACTTATACGGGCTAGTACTAAGAGGTCCTATATATATTAAAATAGGTAAAGCTCGTCCTATAGGCGGGTAGTAAAAGGTTAAGAGCTATTAATAAAAAAGAGATAATAGTTAAGTTAGTTAATTACTATTTTAGTTAACGTATATAATAAGCAAGTGGGCTAGATAAGTAAGTACGCTACCTAACCGCGACTATATTATATTTATTATTAAAAAGTAGTACTAAAAAAAGTAATTTAATTAAAACTATTTAGTATCCTCTTTTTAAAATATTTCTTTAGCAATTTAATATATTTATATTTTATAACTAGTATTTTTATAAATATTATATCGTTATTAACTTATCTTAGTCCTTAGCTAACAACTACTATTTTAATATATTTCTTTTTTAATTTAAGTTATTACTTCTTTTTATAACTAAAGGTCTTTTTTATTAATTATTATAAAACCTCTTTTTTATTTAAAACGTATTTTTTTAACCCTCTTATATTAGCTAAATAAGTTATTCTTTTTTTAAAAAATCTAATTCTCTAATTTTAATAAAATAATTTAATATATAAATCCTCGCGCCCCCTTTAATAAATACTTTATAAGTTCAATAATTAAAATTAAGGAGCTATTTTAATAATAAGTAATTTAATTTTGAATAAGTTATAACTATAATAATACTTTTATTAAGTTATTTAGTATTTAAAAAGTCTAAGTTAGTAGTATTATTAAGAGGGATCTTAGAAACGTTAGAATATATAACCTTATATTAAGCTTAAATAGTATACTCTTTATATTTAAAAATATAAGCTTAGCTCTTTTTAATCCTCTCTAAATATTTCTTTTTATAATTATTTATATAAATACTCTATAAAACATAAAAAAAAAGTCCTTTTTTATAATATAAGTATTACCCTATTATATGTTTTTTTTAATTTCTTAGCTATATGCTGTTTTTATATAATAGTTTTTTTTTTAGCTTTATAAGCATAAAAGATCGACTTTAATAGGATTACGCTTTTAAAAGAAATTATACAATATAGTATACTTTTTAACTATATAATATACGTAATATACCCTAAGTACGCGCTTAATATAATATAGTGATTTTAATATAAAAACTACTATATAATTCGGAATAAGTAAGCTACCTTGCGGCAGCGCTAGTTAGAAAAGTCGATAATAGAGGTTAGTTATAATAATTAGCTATAATAATCGGCCATAATAGTTAAAAGCAGCCTTCTTTAACTATAGAGGTTCTAAACTTTAATAGTAACGTAGAGGTTTTTAAAAAAAGGGCTAAATAGGTTAATATTTACTACTTTTTAAAGCTCGTAAAGATTCTTTTTATCCTTATTACTTTTAATATTACTTAAAACTACTCTTTATTTAAACTAAATAAATTTACTAAATAAATTTACTAAATAAACTTATTAATATATAAACTACTACTTAAATAGCTAGTTAAATAATTAGTTAAAAAGTTAGTTAGTTAAAATACTACCTCGATAAGAACCTACTCTACTCTTAGTATATAATTAATAATTAATAAGCTAAAACTCTCTAAAAATACCCATTAATAAGTCTACCCCTCTCGGGCTAGGCACCCTCTTTAACTAGCTCGATACTATAACTATCATAACTAACGTAAATATGCCTAAGGATTAATAAAGTACTTTTTAATAATACGGAATTTAGCTAGGTAATAGTACGAATACTATAAATAGCTAGGCTAATACGGACGTTAAGATTTAGTATATTAATACTAACTTAGAAATTATACTTTATAAAACTAAAAATCCCTTTAATATAGGCTATATTATAAATATAAGGGAATATATAAGGGGCCCCCTAACTTTTAATAAAAAGGAGTATATAATACGAGATTTAACTACTTACGTAGGTTAGTATTAAGAAGTCTTATATACGTTAAAATAAGTATAGCTCGCTCTATAAATAGCTAAAAGCGGGGGAAAGTTAGGAGTTTTAATTAGTAATTAGGTATAGAGCGTAATATACTTAGTTTTCCTTAATACGTAATATATAATACAGCCCCAGCGGATTACTCCGTTAAGGGGATATACCGTTTTTATAAA